TATTGTTTAGTTCAAAGAGACTTTAGCCAACACTTTATTTTTTTGATGAGGTTGCTAAGTCTGAGAAAGGCCAAGTTGACTTTGTCAAGGCCCGCAGTAGCAGAGTTGAAACTAGGCTTTCAGGCCTAGACAGCAACTCAACTGTCAGTGTGTGGAGAGACCTCGGATGCATGCCCTCTATCCTCGAGACCCCACCCTCTGGTGTTTGTCATACACTCCTTGTGGACACATCCCAAGTCCCTGTTCAACAAGATGAACCCTAAGATCTAGGACCCCAGGAGGGTGGGGGGAAGGGGGAACTTCCTTCTGTTGCCCTTACGGTGGGGGTTGCTCAACAAGTGGTCATATGTTCATTCATTCAATTCCTTGCCCCCAACATGTATAGAGTGGCAGATACCAAGGCTGCAATAGTAAATAAAACATGAACAGCCTAGAGCGGAAGGCAAACCAGCACTCACTGCCAATAGTTAAATATACTTGTATGAAGTACTACAAAGAAGTACAGGCTGCACTGAGAGTGTATTCCAGGGAGTTGGAGTGGTTAGAGAAAGCTTCTTCAAGAAGCAAAATCATATTTCATTGAATCTAAAATGCTACAGTTTGTAAGACACACCATTATTTTATGTACCACCAAGGAAAACAATTAAGACATAATGCTTTTCCACTTAGAATTTTAACTTTCATTTAGTAAAAGAACTCTTTTGGACTTACTTAGACATAAGTTTTTTTAGTGTTACTTCTGTATATACATTACAAGAAACATATAAACTTAATAAATTGGTTGAGGTCTTCCTAACCTCACTTCTTCACTTGACTCTTCTGAATCACTTTTCAACTCAGCTCGTCAGTATCCATGTATGACCATATGGTATCATTCTCTGTGCCTTGGAGAGAGTTGGTGATGCAGAGCTGTTGTCTCTGGGATTTTCATCTACACTGCTGATGCCCATTCTGCGTGTTGATGCTGCCACTCAGGAGCGGACTAACCAGTAAGCAAGGTACGCGCTGGCTTACTTGTGTTTACTTACGAATCTGCAGTGCACGATGTCACTACAAAGATGTGGTGAAAAGCAGGTGACACTGTGCACTACAGATTCGTAAGTAAGCACAAGTAAACCCGTGCGTACCTTAGTTATTGGATAATCCATCCCTGCACGCCACTTTCTTGATCTTACCAGGTGTCAGTGGAACGTTTTTAGATAATGAGGGCTCTTATTCTTCAAGGGTTCGTAAGTGGCTTGTTAATTGAGCACTGAGAGGTTTCAGTTATCCAGTCGTGCCTGGGGGAATAACAACCACTTGGGTGCATGTGGAAGCATTGATGAAGATGTTAAGGCCGCAGGGGTTGTTAAGCCCTGCTCCAGTTTCAGAGATAAAAATGCTTATCTTGGAATTGATAAAATCATTTATAGGAAGTCCAGGGGGAGGTGCTTCTGTCATTGTTCCAGTGACTCGGTGATGTCACAACTCTGGGTCTTTGTGATTCTCCTAGTCACAAGATGGCAGTTCCAGGCATCTGAACCATATTCAAAGGCAGAAGGCAAGGAGCAGGGTCAGGTCTTTCTCCTCCCACATAATCTGGAAAGGAAAATATCTTTCCTAGCAATCCCTTAGCAGATTCCCCCTTACATGCCATTGGCCAGAATGGCGTCACATGGCTATCCATAACTGCAAGGGAGGCTGGGAAATCTGTTTTTTCAAGAATAGGGGTGGGAGTGATTTTTGAATGGTCACCTAACAGTGTATCCCATGTGGTAAGATGCATTTGGGATACATCGAGTTAAACAAATTGACTTATAGACTTCTGAGAGCTTTTAATATGGTAACATGGCTCGGTGAATTATGGGAAATATGGTATTAAGTTTTTCCAAACTTAGGGAATCCAAACTTATTTTCCCAAAATAGGGAACCTGATTATGTTGAAGGAACCCTGGTGGCACACTGGCTAAATGTTTGGCTGCTAACTAAAACATCCAGTGGTTTGAACCCACTATCTGCTCCGGGGGAGAAACATGTGGCAGTCTACTTCTATAAGGATTACAACCTTGGAAACCCAACTGGACAGTTCTACTCTGTCCTATAGTGTCCCTATGAGTTTGAATCAACTAGACGGCAATGGGTAAATGGTTAATTATGCAGAATACCCATTAACAAGTCTTGGTGGTTCCCAGAAGAGTATGGGAAACATTGGTGGAGAATTAACAAAATGAAAATTCTCCAGAGCAGAGCCAAAGTGGCAGGGTGGAATGAGGTTTGCAGGAAGTGAATGGGAGTGAACTTTTGAATGGAGGCTAAAGAAGGCTGAGAGGTTTACAAATGAGAGAGACATATTGATTGCTACCATCTCAGAGTGTTTTGACAGGCAAGGGCTAATTTGCTTTTAAGAACCTTGTATCCATGCCACCATGCTTTCCTCTGAAACAGCACTAGGTTAATACTGAGCTATCATTATCTCCTTCTCTCTGCTAACCTCTGCCACTTTCAGTCTTCATGATGCTAGTAATATTGGAGCTAGACTGGCTGGCTTGTGGGAGTGAAATTGTGTTTTGTTAAAATGGACATGTATGGTGCCTGCTTTTGCTTTCTCTTGGATGCGTTGCTGAGCATTTGCAGGAGCTAGCAGGAGAGTTAGTCCCTGATCATTCATTTGGGCTTGGGGTCATGAAGCTGCTCTTGGTCTTTTTGGCCAGAAGTGACCTCTCCCTCATCTGATTTCCAACAGCAGCTGTGCATCTCAGCAGCAACAACAGCAGCAGCAGCATCAGAGTTGACATTTTTTTGTACATTTAGTGTGCACTGGGCTTTGTAATGGGTATTTTATGGGCATGATCTCATTTAATCCTCACCACTGTCTTTCAAGATAGATGCTATTCTGCAGATGAGAGGATAAGGTCACCCAGTTAGTAAGTGATAGGACTGTCATTCAAATTCAAGTCTGACTCTAGAACTGTTGTACTTAACCTTCACTTTCTGTTGCTTCTGGTATGGCATTTCTGTGTATTTGTACATTTGTCTTTTTATGTTTTGTCAGAAATCACACTGTGTCTTTGGTAGCTCCTAATAACAAGTAACACAGTGTTTCTCTCATGGAAAGTACTTGATAAATGATTGTCAAACAGATAAATCAATAAATGGGAGGATGAATGAAAGAGTGAATTGGGGAGTGGTTTTCCTAAATTTTAACATGACATTAAATTACTCAGAATTAGAATTATCAGAATATTTTCTCTCTTTTCAGAATCATTTTTTGTTCTTTAGTCATCTAGTTTCTTCTAAGTTCTAGATGTCACCTAAAGTGTTTTGTAGTAAAGTAATTGTGGATCGTTGGCTGCTCGATTTGGAGGCGATTACACTGAGTGGCTGGTCCAGCGCTCGTTTTCTTGGCAAAGGCCAATCAGCCGTTCACGTCTAGGACGGGAGGGCTCTGACCCCTGGCCTTCATCATCCTAGAGCAGTGTCTGAGGCCAACAAGGGGGATTTCTGTCCAAACACCCCTTTTCCTGTTTTTACAGTTCTAATTGTGTATATTTGACTATTTAAATAGTTTTGTTGTTGTTAGTTTCCTCTGGAGACTTGGTTTTTATACCTTCAGTATATTGGAAGCCTGTCTCTTTCATATTTGATGCAGGTTTGCTTCATCCTGGCATTTTTTTCTAAACCTGTCTGAAAGCCCCTTTTGTTCCCCTCTGACCTCGAACTAACTAATTTTCTATTTGCTTCTTTATCTGGATGTTTTGCTAAAGTCACTTCAGTGACTCACTAGGCTCTTTTGATCCGTTTTCATAGCCTTCTCTTCGTTCAGTAAGTGAACAATATCCCCAAACTATTCTCCCATCTCTGGAAGCCTCTGATTAAGCTGTCTGGGGCCTCGTTCCTGTTTCATCAATCCTACCACCATGCCAGAGTCAGCCTGTTAGTTGCTCAGATCAGTTTGTGTTTATTTGTTGGTTCTGTTGAATATCTGTTGTGCCTTTTTGTCCCCAAGTCCTCCACACTTTTAGGACCACTCTTTCTTTCTTTATCCAAATAAAATACCTCTCCCCACTGCCGTGCCGTGTACCCATGGTCCCAGTCTGCACGCCCTCCAGTATTTCCTTGATGCCCAAGTTCTCCAGTTCCCGGGTCTGTCAGCTTGTCCAAACAGGAGCCACTCCCCCATCCCCAGGCACACTTAACGCAGTGCCGAGTCCCTCAACTTCCTTGGGATCACTTTCATGCTTTCTGACAGTCTCTTCCAGACAGGGAGGACGCCCCTTCATAAGTGTGATGGATTTATCTTGCTTTCCTGAATGAAAGAACAGTCTTCCCTGAGGTCAATTCTGCGGCTCCCTCAGAACGTGGAATGGTTGCGGTCAGCAGTTGTTTTTAACGTCCTTTTTTCCTTCCTAATTCATTACCTTTTGGGTATTTTATGAAGCTCCAATGCGACAATGGGATTAAATGTGCCTCATAAGCAGTAACGAGCCAAACAGATAAGAGAAATTACTGTTGTCAGACACTTTAAAAATACTGTCTATATTTTATTTCTTTGGAAGAGTAAGAACTGAGTGCATAGAATATTAGGTTTTGATTTTCTGATCAGATTCTTCTGTACTGGGAACTGAGAAAAATGTAGCTACATAAGGATCTTTGTTTGTATAAAGCAGGAAAAGCAGCAAACAACCCCTAGAAAGTAGGAAGTACAGGCAGTCACCACTTCCTTGACCTTGGGTTTGTCTGAGGTGCTTGCTTCTCAGGGGTGTGAGTGAAGGGGCAGAAGGAGTGTGGGGCCAGAGGAACAATTGCTGAGCCCCAGGGGAGGCCGTGGAATATTCAGGGCTTGTCTTGTAGTGTCTCCAGCAAGGTGTCCCCAGGCACCTGCCTCTCTGTAGAGCCTTCGTCTTGATTTCCACCTGGCTGATTGTCAGAGCTCCCTCTTGGCTTTGTCGAATCTGCCCCTCAGCACTGCCTGGGAGTCTGGGTCAGGCCTCTGACGTGTTCTCCTTCCTGTCTGTATCCAGGGACAGGGTGCCTTATCAGAGAGACTCCGGAGCTTCAGCATGCAGGACCTTACCACCATCAGGGGCGACGGTGCCCCTGCTCCCTCCAGCCCCCCACCACCGGGGTCTGGGCGGGCCACCGGCAAACATGGCCAGCCTAAGATGTCCAGGAGTGCTTCAGAAAGTGCTGGCAGCTCAGGTAGGTGTTACTGCACTTCACCCCTCTTTCCCACAGTTTAGGCCTCACTTTCATTGAGAGAGACCCAAGCACCAGTCCATCCGGCCCACCATGTGGCAGGCAACCTGGCCCTTGCCCATGGACCTGCCATCAACAGAGACGTCCATCAGACCATGCCAGGGCAGCCAAGGTGCAGAGTGCCACTCAGGCCAGGCCAGGACTCTGGCCTGGGGACTCTGCTTGGGGGCAGGGTTAGAAACAGGCTGTACCAAGGGGCCCTGCCTCCTCCGTCTGATTGTCTGGGGAATTAGGGGTGGTGGGGTTGTCACGCCTGAGCCAAGCCTAGAGGTAACAGGCAAAGCTGGACCTGGGCCCAGGGAGCCTTCTCTGCTGTCTTCACCTCTGATCTCACACTGCTAGCAGGGCTTACCTGTCTTGAGCACCTGAGCGTCTCTCATCACCCACCCAGAGCATATGTCTCTCACGGCCCCTTTTCTCTGCCTGGATGTTTTCTGTCTTCTCTCTCAGCCACTCTCTGCTCCTCACCCCTGCGCCCCCATTCACCACACACACACCCAGACTCCGCACACCAAGGGCCGTACTAGCTCTGAAGTCTAGTTCCTGTGGCCAGGGCACCTCTGCCTCCAATGTCTAACGCAGGGGGTCAGACCCCTGGCCTGAGGTCACCTCTGTCACACTGACCTGAGGACCTCGTTAAACACACAGAGTCCCGGGCCAGGCAGGAGGAAGAGCTCGTGCTCTGGGCAGGGAATGTTGGTGACATCTTTTCATATAATAGCACCAGAAGAAGATCTACTTATTCATTTACTTTATTTCAAATAACAAATTGACAAATTGAGAGAAATAATGAAAGGACAATGTATGTAGTAACAAAGTAAGAAATAAACAGTAATTAGTTTCTTAAATATGAGAGTATTTTTCTACAGTGGGGGGTTTCTAGCACCCTACTTATGCCAGTGTGCCACGGTCCCTAATTTGGGAACATCTGTATAAATTTGTGTTAACTACTTGATATTTAGTTTGTTTTGATAGTATTTTAGTCACATTAATTTTTTGACACATAGTGAACTTGGCGCCCCAGTAAGCCTGGTGCCTGGGCGGCGCTCACATAGCCAGGCCCTTAATCCTGCCCTGCCTTGTCCCCAGCCCCAGAGGATTCGTGGGTCTGGACTGCGATCCAGACGTGTGTATATTAGGAAGGTCCCCAGGTGCTGTTGAGGTGCAGCCATGTTTCGGACCCACTGTGTGTATCCATCACTGTGGGTCTCAAGCTTGTGGAGGGTAGGGGGGCACGGGTTAGGGAGACGTGCTGGGGCTCAAGGTTTCCCAGACGGTTCCTCGGGGATCACAGGGACATTGGCTGTCAGGAGCTGATGGTGAAGGTGGGTGTAGAGGACCGTCTGGGTTGCCATCTCCGCCCCTCACCCTTGGTGGGCAAGTGAACCATGAGGGTGGGAATTGGGCCACTCTATTGGGATCTGTGACCGTGACGTGTGCCTGGTGGCTGCCCTGCCCTTAGAATAGAAGCAGGGTTGTCTGAGCTGTCTGGATCCTGTGTGTTGTGAGGTGCAATCTGCAGGAGTTCCTTGGCCCACCCTCCTAGTTCACTTGACCACCAAGGTCCTGCCAGGCCCACCTGACACCTGGTGATGTTAGACATAGTGGGCAAGACAGAGCCCCGTGGCTTCCCCAGGACTGATGACTCACGCTCCCCCCAGGGAGAGGAAAACAGCTCAGAGCTGGGTGGGCTTGGCTGTCCCTCGATGTTCTTCCCTCAGGAATGCCCCCCTCCAGGACATTTAAAGATGGCGACTTTTCTGTTGGAAAGCACCATCCTGAGCCCCTAAGAAGGGAGGGGCCCGCAGCTGCCCTTCTTCTGGAGACTCAGTACGTTAAATGCACACCTAGATGGATTTTTAACACAAGATGGTTAGTGAAAAAAGTACAAAACAGAAGGAGATATTATGTAACAATTAATGTAAAATAAAAACAATACATAGTTTGCAAGAACACATTTAAATAGAGACATGTTAAAATACTAAAATTGCTGCTTGTTGGGGAAGGAGAGGGCGAGTGGGTCTGGAGGTGTTGCAGCCCTGGCACTGGTGGAAATGGGCAAGGTGGGGAGTGGAGGTTTGGCCGGTGGGGCGAGCTCCACCTCAGGGAGGGGTCTGTCTTGAGGGAACCTCTCCCAGGGGAACTTAGAATGGAATCCCAAAAGGCCAGCCAGGAGGAGACTTCAGGGGTCACTCACTGTAACCGTCTGATTTCACCAATGAAGAAATGAAGGCCTGGAGAAGGGACATGTCATCAGGCCCACCAGCTGGCAGGGGAAGGGGGCTGCAGCAGACTCCTGGGCCAGTGCCCCGTTAGCTCACCCATTAACCACTGAGCATCTACAGTTTCTGACCTACCAGGCAGTGTCCTAGGAGTAGAACTCCATTGCCGTCGAGTCAGTTCCGACTCATACGACCCTGTAGGACAGAGTAGAACTGCCCCATAGGGTTTCCAGGGCTGTATTCTTTACAGAAGCAGACTGCTACAGCTTTCTCCCACAGAGCGGTTGGCGGTTCCGAACTGCTGACCTTTCAGTTAGCAGCCAGGTGCTTAACCACTGCACCACCAGGGCTTCCTCAGGGAGAGGGATGCAAGATAAATAAGGGATCCTCTCTGCTCTTGATCACTCATTGGCTACCTAGCCTCCACTGAAATCTGTCACTTGGACAAAAAAAGGGCCCCAGTTGTGTGAGGCTCAGAGTACAGAGCTAGAGCCTTGGGGTGACATTCCCAGGAGGCAGCCATCTGCTAGCTGTGTGCCTGGGCAAGGTGCTTGGCCTCTCAGAACCTGTTTACTTATCTGTACAGAAGGAATGATGATCTCCATTTTTAGGGCTGTTATGAGGATTAAGATGAAATAATACAGGTAGAAGTGCTTAAGATTGTGCCGGGCAATCAGTATGCATTAGCTGCTGTTATTGTTACTGTTGATGTCATTTAATCCACCTAAGAACGCGCTTTATAATAATGGAAGTGGCTGCCTTGTGAAGTAGTGAGATCCCTGAATTGAACGGGCTCAAACCCAGGTTGGGTGACCATGTTTCGCGGCTCTAGGGAGGGATTCCTGCTTTGGGTAAGAAGTAGGGCTAGATGGCCTCTATGGTCCCTTTCCCTCTAAGAGTCTATGCTGTCATTATAAAGGAAAGAGGCTCAGACAGGTCATGCACCTGCCAAGGCCACACAGGACTAGAATCCAGGCCTCCAGACTCTTCCTGCCTAGACCTCCCCATGGGGGATTCTTCAGGGCAGCCTCAGGACTGGGAACATGTGGAGCCTGGCAGGATCTCAAAGACAAGAAGGGAGTATCTCTTGGGCTTTGAGCATTGTCACAGACAAGCTCCAGGTAGAAAAGGGTGTGGGATGATTGGTTTTGGTCCGGCCCTGCTGCCTTCCACTAGCAGAGATGGGGATGCCCCCGCCACGTCTAGGGGGGCAGTGGGGAGCTCTGTGGTTGTGCACAGAGCAGGTAGAGTTCACTGAGAAGAGGCGGTGCTGCAACCCGACCCAACCCTCCTCGCTGCCTGTCCCTGGGCCTGGGCACCTGTGGTTTTGGGGAGGAGAGGCAGAGCAGGGACTTTCTGGCTCAGCAGGAGGCTGCGACTGCATGGCACTCTCCCCAGCTGTTCTGGGGCCAAAAATAAACGTTCTCTCAGACAGGTGGAAGAAGGCCCAGGGCGTGTGCATGGGGCAAAAGTGCCTGCTCAGAGGCTCTGGGGCTGTAGTAACCCCTGAACTGAGGGCCAGGGTGCCTGAGAGAAAGCTGGCAGAGCAGGCCCATGCACATGGGCGGGTGTGCCCTTCCCAGCTCAGCTGCCAGCAGGGCCTGGGATGCCAGGCATGGTCCAGTACAGGAAAGGGCTGGGCTCTGGGTTAGGGGAGAAGCCTGGGCTTCCATCCTCACTTTGGCCCATATCAGCTGTCTGACGCAGGCCTGTGCAGAGACAGCAGATGCCGTACGGGCAGGGGGCTGCTATGCCCTGTCACTACGAGGCACTGACTTTTGGTGACCTCATGTGTGTCAGAGTAGAACTGTGCTCCAAAGGGTTTCCAATGGCTGATTTTTCGGAAGCAGATCACCAGGTCTTTCTTCTGAGTCGATTCTGACTCATAGTGACCCTATAGAACAGAGAAGAACTACCCCATAGGTTTCTAAGGCTGTAATATTTAAGGAAGCAGACTGCTACGTTTGTCTCCCGCAGAACGGATGGTGGGTTTGAACCGCCAACCTTTCAGTTAGCAGCCAAGTGCTTAACCACTGCACCAACAGGCTCCTTTAAATACATAAAAAGTGAGAAGGGGCCCACCACATGAGGTCGGCTCGGCCTTCTACATCTTTAGGAAAGAAAAGAAGAAGCAGGCAGAGAAGAAGGGAGAAAGGCAGCGCACACCGTACAGACATGGTTTTTGTGCTCTGGAGCTCCTGGCAGCCACATGCCTGTTCTGTGTTCTCCTCTGTACTGGCCCCTGCCCAGCACCCACCAAGGCCTGGCACACACAGGCCCCTGGATTGTTCAGCTGCTTTTGGCTCCAGCAGGTGGGGCCGGACAGTTCACCTGGCCTGCCCCGCTCCCCTGTGCCTGGGGTTTCCCTCCCTGGTGAAGCACCAGGGTGGGCGGTGACTATCATTGTCCCCCCTACAGAGTGAATGGGGAGGCATTTGGTCAGATGCCATACACTGAATGCCTGTTACGTGCCTGGCATTGGACACGAGAAGAGGTAGAAAGAATGATTCTGCCTTCTGTCAGCTTGGAGTCAGTCAGCATGTATTTAATGAGTACCTACTGTATACCAAGGAGTCCCTGTGTGGCGCACATGGTTAATGCACTCAGCTGCTAACCAAAAGGTCGGAGGTTCGAGTCCACCACAGGTGCCTCAGAAGAAAGGCCTGGCAATCTACTTCCCCCAAAAGCAGCCATTGAAAACTGTATGGAGCACAGTTCTCC